TTTAACAACAATCAAGTATAAAAATGTATATACATGTAAAAAAATGAATTTATGAAATTTCTATTTTAACATTTTGAGCTTCTATTGAAGGGATTTTTCGAAATTTGGGTAGATTGTGAATATTTCAAATGTATGTTTAGGACTTAGACCTAGTTTAAAAACAGTTTTTGGGAGTAAGGGGTTGAATCTGGACAATATCATACTTGGGGAACTGTATGTGGTAAAATCGCATGCATGTTTGTGTATCTAATTCATAAACAAGAGGGTAACCTCCTATTCGTCTTCTTCATTTTCGTGATACACCGAAGGCACAACCAAAATATATACAGTGGTCCTTGATTTGTTTAACTTCATGAGAACAAAACAAAATTAAAAGGGAGGGTGGCGATGACTCACAGAGGCAGAGCAGCAGCAGAAACCGGCGGGTGCCTATGGTGGCTGTGAGTTGCGACAAGGGGCTGACGGAGGTGGTAGTTCCGTGTTGCTGCCTTCGTTCTTCTTTCTTTCAACAGTATTTTGATGCAGGAATTATGGAGAAGCTTTTGGGGATCAAAGTTAATAGCAATGACAGCTTAGGGATGAAGTTCTTGGGTGGTGGCAGTGGGTGTTTGAAGGTTGCAGTGGGTGGTGGGTGATGGCTGGCAGGAGGGTGATTCGGTGGTGGCAGGAGGCTACTCCGGTGGCCTTCTGATGCTTCTTTCTTGCTTATTTCAGCAGGGAAAACCAAAAAGGAGGAGGGAGGGGGCTGTGGTGATTGAAAACAACAGTAGGAATGGGTTGGGGAGGTGATCCATGGTGGTGATGTTGTAACTGTGAGAGAGGGAATTGACAGAGAAGAAGAAGCTGGTGAATTTGAGTGAGTTTATGAGGCTTCTCGTGCCTCCTTTTATAGGAAAAACTCATACTCACACCACTTTGAGTCCGTACTCATACACTCCTTACTTGTACTCTCTTGGTGTGATTCTTGCACACAAAGGAGAAGAGAGTAGGAAGGAATGCACGTGGGTTTGATACCAGCTGGAAGATTAGGTTTTTGGAGCTTATCATCCCATGTGGGCCCCACATAGGTTATGCTCCATTACATGCCCAAAACTGGGTGCCTCAAGATTCATGCATTGGGGATTTTTTTTTTCAAAATCACCATTAAATAGAGTATAATTCAAGGATTCCAGAACCTCAAATGAATTAATTTTTAGAGTTACGGATCTCCGAAAATTTGCATTTGAAGTTTCGCGTCTTAACGGCTCGCGGTGTCCATTTTACGACTTTTGTAAACATTTTCATAAAAATTATTTCGAATGTGAAATTAAATAATATACTATATCCTGATTCCAAAAACTCTCTCGGAAATCCCATCGGCAAAGCGTAAGTGCCTCAACGGATCGTTTTGGTCTATGCGATTAAAGAAAATAGTGTTTTACTGTCCGTTTTTCTTATGCATATGAACTCCGTTTTTGACGATTTTTATATTTTCATAAACAGGGGAACATGTACTATCATATTTTAATGTTTGTTTTGCTCAAAAATGATTAATTCTAAGTTCCAGTTTTTCAGACGCATTAGTCAGAGCTGCAGTTGAGCGATTTGATTTGGTTACTAGTTTACACGTTTGGGCATAAAACGATCAATAGATATTACATAATAATTAAAATTAACTCATTTATATTTCATTACATGCAGTTAAAGCTAAATGAGTTAATTACAAATACATTTGCCGTAATTTAGTCGTTTGAAATCTATGCCCTAAATTCCGGGATGTCACAATAGGTGACTGTAGCATTGGGGGCACCATGTAAGTTTTCATGGTTATTCATACCCTGTTTTGTGATCCTCATTATCCTAGTCACAAATCAAGGGGCATATCGAGATTTAAACATGCCATTGAAAAGTTCAATGAATCTCAAAAGATCTAGGAGTTTTCAATAGATTTGAAACTTAAATTTCCTTTTCGTTTTTCATGGTGGAAATTGGTAAATCGTCATTTACCTGCCTTGAAATATTCTGCAACTTGATTACGACATCCCTTTTCTAGGTTGTAGAGTGTTGTGTTGGATCCTAGCTTGATGTTTCATTTGGGTGTCACGTCAAGGATTCTAATCAACTTAACTTGAATTTTCTCCCTTTTGTAGATGTCTAGTTATGAAAATCATGGTCTTCCCAAATCCCATCGAACAAGCTTTCCAAATGAAGATGATGTTCCACAATATGATCAAGGAACAAGAGATCATGCTTCACTTCCTCCACCTCCTCGAATTGTTCTCCCTAACCCACAAGTTCGAAGGCTTGAAAAGTTCAAGCTCACTCAAGCCCTTTTGGTTAGTAAACATGAAGATGGAAAACCTGTGTGTGTACACGTCTTAGAGATGGAGTCACACATTGATAGGTTAAGGATGTTGGGTGTCGAGATTTCAGGTGAGTTGACTGTTGATTGGGTTCTTCAGTCGCTTCCTGAATCATATAGTGAGTTCGTTATAGAGTACTATATGATGGATCGCGACGTGACCCTCATTGATCTCACCTATTTGCTTATAGCTGTGAATCCGCAATGATTTGGCGTGCTGGTCAAGCAAATTTGTCTAGTGAGTCAAACTCCTAAACTGTAATGGACACTAGCAACATCGGAAGTCTAGAAAGAACTAAGTCTATGATTGTCCAATGTGTTGTGCCAAAGGAGTCCATTTTCTTTTATTGCCAAGAGAAGGGGCATTGGAGACGAAGCTTCCCTATTTACCTAAAAGATCTAAGAGATGGGAGAGTCGAAACGTATGGCTCTACTTCAGGTGAAATCCATTAACTAACTCTTTTAAGTTCCTATTCTAGACTCTTAATACATGATGTGAAAAGATTACATTTTGATGTTTTGTAGGATCGAATAAAAGAGAGGAAGCTTAAGGGAAGAAGTGAGTTGAATCTAATCGTGAAGAAATGGATTTCGATCGCATTACTTGAAGATTAGATTCTTGAGCTAGTACTTGGATTTAGAATAGATTGCTAAGAAATATGTATTAGCATAGTTTTTCAATTGAATTGCATTGTAAGGACAAATTATTCCACAATAAAATAAAATTTGATTTTATATTATTTATTTATCCTTGCAATGGTGTGTATGGAAATTGATGTTTGAAGGTTTCTATTATTAGCAATAATGGATTTGATTCTTAATTATGTTATTGGTGGAAATGACAAGAATTTACCAAATAGGGAGAGTTTCTCATCGCCCAAGTTTCAATTGGACAGAAACTTGGAATCATGCAATGAGTATTGTATGATGAATGAAAAAACTTTCACATTTGGGAAATTTAGACTAATTCGTTGACAAAGTGTCAATTGAAGGACTAGGAGATCAAGTACACTAGGTCGTACGTTGATCAAGTCTACCAAAAGAGTGACAAAGATATTCGTCATGATTTACTAAAGTTTAGTGAATATGGTTATACTTATAAGATTGAGTATAACTCTGAGTTGATTGAAAGAGTTTCAATCAATAGCAGAACGAATAAGAAGAATCAAGTAGGCAGAAATATAAAAGTTTCTCTATTCTAAGAAGAAGGGAGAGTACCTTTTATTATTTTTTATGATAGGTCTTAATGATTAAGAACCCACTACTAGAAAAATAGCCTTTTACGACGTGCAATTTATGATACGCGTTGATTTACGATACGCAAAAGTGTGTGACCTAAAAGTAATGTCATCTCTCTATAAATTTTAAGGATTTAGTACGCGCATTTTTGCGTGCCCTTAAATTAGTGTCTAAAAAAACATGGAGGGCGCCTATAATAAAATGTGCATCGTCTGAATATGTCGATTTATAAATTTTAATGGAAATGCGCATTCCATCCTTTAGTAGCTGGAGGGAAATGAAATCCTAAAAAATTAAAAACCCCGCCTTCCTTTTTCATCCTTTCCCTCTTGCCCTAATTATCGACGCTCCTAATTCCCCTCCCCACATTGACTGCCGCCTAATTCTTCCCTCGCACTTCGACCATCGTTACTTGCCATTCCCTGTCGTTGACATCAATCAAGGCAAGCACGCCACCAGCTGACAACCTTCACTCTCTCCTTCTCCTTTTCTATGTAAACCCTAATCCGCCTCCAGCACTACCGAATCTACCTCAAGTCACCTCTGACCTCGGCTCATCTCTTACCATCGGCGACCTCGGGCTCACTTCACCTCACCAGATACTGCAACGATTTCTCAAGTTTACAAGCCCTAGGTTAGATTAATATTAAAGTTGAGTATGATTTTAATGAGATGATGGATTTCCCTAGTCGCTTTTTCATGAAGAAATTTCCCACATGAACACCAGATCTTCGAATTGTTGCAGAAGGGGACGACCCACGTGTGATTTACGCTAAAAAAACTCAACTTTTGTAAGTGTCTCAAGGCGTAAGCGAACCAAGACAAGGGAAGCAATAAATCTAACACTCACTCTCAAATCGATTCTACTAGACAAGTTTTTAATTTGGGCTCTCTATATTCTCATCGATTCTACTTTTATTCAAGCATAAATCAGTTTTTTTTGGTATCCAATAACCGAAGGGGTATTAACATCAGTCGGAGGCACCCCTTAAACATTCAAGATCTCGTAATTTTCTTTAATCTACGTATGAGTTGCAAAACGTATGTCAAGATCTGCAAAAAAAACTGGTCAGTTCCTTCTATCTAAATCTCTCAATGTGCTTGAATATGTTGTCCATTAGTTATTTCAACATCTCAACAAAACTCTGATTCTTCTGTGTTGACGATGGACTGCATATTGAAATCACCATTAAAAAAAATAAATAGCAATATATATAAACAAGATTACTATCTAATTTATAAAAGATATGAAATTGTTGATCACATTCTCTCTTGTAGTTTGGTGGTGTAAATTGAAATTATGTTGATTTTGCAAGTATACAGCCACCTGCAGAAGCTTCTTGGGGTGAATCATGAAGTGGGTTCTATATTCTCATGGTCTCTTATTCATTGATCAGATCTTCCACCAGATGCTTCATCCATGGGGTTATCACGAAGAGTGGAATGCAATTCCAAGCTAGTTGTTGCTCTTTCAGTCAATGATGAGTGCTTTGTTCCTGTTCTTGACAGGAGAAGTGGAATCAACTTAGTTCATAATGTTGTTTAGAATTGTGGGTAAGTTTAACATACCTTGTTACTTTCTTTACCCATTAAGTTGATGACTGAATTTGCTAATTCTTTGTAATTTTTTTGTAGATCAAACTTGAACAAGTTAATAGTGGCTTCTTTACATCTATATTGGAGAGGGGTGATGAAATGATTTGTGTTGCATCCATCAGGTAGGCTTTTGTTGCTTCAATTAATTTTAATAAAATTTGTCAATTTCTTACCTTAATTTTAAATATTAATATAATATGTTTAGGATCCATGGGACCCAGCTACCAGAGATGCCATTTATTGGGACCCGCCATCTTTATAGACGCCAAAGGATGTGTCGTAGGTTGTTAACTGCTGTTGAATCAGTAAGAAAAATTAGAACCTTTTATTTGCTTTTGGTGCCTGTAAATTACTTGTATACCCTTTTCTTTTCAGGTACTCTCGTCCCTTCATATTGAGAAATTGATCATTCATGCTATTGCTGAACACATGCATACATGGATAGATGTTTTTAGTTTCAAACCTCTTGAGGAAACACACAGACAAGAAATGAGGTCCATCGACATGTTGGTGTTTCCTAGAACAGATATGTTGTAGAAACCACTAATTCCAGAGAAAGGTTCATCATTACATAAGATAAGAATGGAATTCGAATTGGAAAGCAACATTCTGAAGCATGACAGATCTGAATCAAGTTCTCCCGATGTTAAAGAGTCGAGACAAAGAATTGCTCCATCGGATTCCGGTTCTCAAGATGCCAGCGATGCGACTCTTTCCATCAGTTATGTTAAAGTTGACATCCTGTTTCCGGTTCCATAAAGAAAACCCAATGTTATTAGTGATTCCGATGTTTAGCTTGATGGTGATGATACAGTTATGCAGAATGGTGAAGAGAGTACTTAAAAATTTTCTATTTCTATTTCCATTCTGGTAAGAAAAGGTGTGTGTGTGAGGTGGTAATGAGACAACAAATGGAATTGCTGATGCCGATTCCCAGGGAGAAGGATTTGCTCCATAGAATGGGAATGTGACGCCTTCCACCAAAACAGGCGGTGCCTATTCCATTCTAGGTAACCCACGTGAACTCATGTAGATATTCACTAAATGAAGAGTTCAAGAATACCATGGCCTCAAGGTCCTGCAGAGGATACATGGAATCTAATCTAGCAAGCACTAAGAAGGTATATTTGATACTTCCCCCCTTCTTCCCAAAAAGTAGTTGTGGTTTGACTTTATGGTCAAACCTATTGAAATTTTGCATCAAAAATTGGAATGGTTCAACATTTGTTATCTTACCCATTTTGTTCAAGTTTGGGCTTCTAAATGGAATGAAAGAGCATATAAAAACAGGAATCATGATACATTATGCATTCGTATTTTGATTCAAGAACATATTAGAGCTGATTACGACTTTGTCACATACACAAATCATCCAGTGTCTCGTTACTCCTCACAGATATATACACAGAGATAAGTCTCATATTTATGGATGCTTTTGTTTAGGGCTATTTTCAATTATGAGAATGTGGATAGTATCTAATTCCCTGTTGACACCTCAACTTTTTCAGCATGAAACGATACATTAACCTAATGTTTTTTTTTCTTCCAGGATGCAGCTTCTCGGGGAAGTGCTGGTGTAGGCTTTGATGTTGTGCAATATGGTTAATGTAATTTTAATCATTTCTTCATTTATTTTGGTTATTTTCTTTTTGAGTGTTAAGATCTTGTTAATTATTTTCAGTGATGTTTTTTTAGATTAGCATCTACTCCAACAATGTTCAATAGTACACTCACAACAAACGAAGACTTTCTATGTCCAGTTGATGGAGCTATCATGATAACTTCAAGCCATCTTCCTTATAATAGAAATGCTTTTAAATTCTTTACTAATGAAGGAGGCCTTGGAAAACCCGACATTAAAGACATTCTGAAGCATGCTGCAAACATATACAATGGATTTACACCAAAAGCTCTAGAAGAGGCAGAAAGAAAAGTTTCATCTTCCATCACTAAAGTTGACTACATGGCTATTTACGCTTCTAACCTTGTAACAACAGTTCGCAAAGCTTCAGGAAACATAGGTATATGTGAAGATTACTTTTTTTTTCTTTCTCTCATGCTTATTTTCTTACTTGCTGTGGATTACAGAAAAGCCATTGGAAGGTTTTCATATACTTGTGGATGCTAGGAATGGAGCTGGTGGTTTTTTTGTTGTAAGTTATCTTTTAAGAATGATGTATAAAACATGAGGTGAATTATATATATATATATATATATATATATATATATATATATATATAAAGATTACTTTTCAAAATCTTATTTGTTTTTTAGGGAAATTTGTTTTTCGAGGAAGATTTCAGTGTTACAAGCAAGATTGGGTCAGGGCTTTAGATTCAGGCGCAATGTATATATCATTTAGCTATAAATTATAATCCACATTGAAAAGTTAACTAGTTGCATGAATGCCTCTTATCTTTTGTTCGCTGATACTAAGAATCATCCTTTTTTTAGAATATTAGCTCCAACAGCATACATCTTCTTTGCCTCCACCCTTCCAGTCATTGCCTTTGGTGAGCAACTGAATAAAGAGACAGGTACAAATAGATACACTATGTGTAATTCACAAATCATTATGCTTATTTGGCTTATGTTTTGATGACAGATGATACGTTGATTGCAGTGGAAACTCTCACCTCTACTGCTATATGTGGAATTATCCATGCAATATTCGGTGGACAACCTCTTTTAATTTTAGGCGTTGTTGAACCTACTGTTATAATGTACAATTATCTCTATATTTTTTCTAAAGAAAGACCTGAATTAGGGAGGCAGTTGTTTCTAGCTTGGGCTGGATGGTATAGAACCTTCTAGAAATGTCTCAAGTATAATTATCATGTGTAATCATATTCTTTCCTATCAAGCATATATGATAATATACATATTCTTCTTGGCTTTAGGGTTTGTGTCTGGACTGATGTGATGTTGTGTGTTCTTGCTATACCCAATGCTTGCACACTCATCACAAGATTCACAAGGGTTGCTAGTAAACTTTTGGCATGTTGATTTTAGTGCTCTTTATGTAAGAGGTTATTAAGGTATATTATGCAGATGCACTTCTTAATGGTTTGACTTTCCTTTTGAGAGATAATTCATTTAGTGTGATCTTATGTTGCTTGCAATTATTTTGGCATTTGGTACCCTGTGCCGCATTTACTTGATCTTATGGATCTTGATGGCGGTGACGATAATAATGCCATTGTCCCCGTTGATCAGCCTGCAGCAGGGTAAGGCGATGTTTCTTTTTTATTCTACTAAAGTACCAAAATACCCCTGTTATATATATATATATATATATATATATATATATATATATATATATATATATATATATATATGTAATTTAATTTTTGATATAAGATGATCTTAAGGATGCTCATCCAATTGCCATGGTAGATTTACAGGTATTTCCAACCTCCAAAATTAACTTTTTGGTTCTTCAAATCCAAATAATTAGTGGTATTGAGGTGCTTGTTAATGTTCTTGAACATAGAGTTGCAGTACCAAGCACTTCCAAGTGAGTTTAGACTTGTCCCTTATACTCCTAATATGTTTTACTAGCTAAAAATCCCATTATGATTCTGCAGTTATATTTTCACCTTAGTGGGACAATTCATTGATTATGGTCCTTTTTATTCCCCATGGGCCCTTTCTATTTTCTTATTTTCATTAATTGTTTTTTGAGAAAAAATTATTTATTATTATTTATTTTTTTTGCAGTTTCTCTCAGCTAAATTTAATTGGGATAAAGCTAAACAAGAATTTTATAAAATTGTAAATGTGGTGAAAGGGTAGTTCTAAATATTTGCATCTGGTTTTAGGGGTTACGCAAGAAAAATGCAAATGGTAGCAAATACTGGGCATATGGAGGTGACTTTGGAGATACACCAAATGACTTAAATTTCTGCTTAAATGGTCTCATATGGCTTGATCGGACTCCTCGTCCTGCTCTAAAAGGTGATTACTATAATTTTTTTGCTTAGTATTTAGGTTTTTGTTTAGTTATTTCCAACAAAAATGTTTCCATGATGAATCTTTTGGTAGAGACAATGTATAAGAATTACTTCATTGAGCTAATTATGATACGATCCTTTGTTTATTTGTTTTCAGAGGTCAAGTGCTGCTATCATCTCACATTTGAGTTTATAGGAATCAACAATCACTATGAAACTTCTAGTGTTTAGATTTCTTACTGGTTGTGAACATTTGTATCTTCCCTTTCTACACTTCACTTGCAGGTTGATGATTTTTCAAGAACGTTCAGACTATTTTCTAAAAATACCCCATGGATTAGATCATGTCTCTAGTATGTTTAAACAGGTTTGTGATTTAGGAGTTGGATTCTTTTTTTTTTTAAGTAGAATGCAGTTATTTGTATTTGTTGTCATCTGTTTTTATCTTTTTGACGTAATGCAGCATGTTGCTGCTGAAGGCACAACCCTGGTCAAACAGGCAGAAGATGTTGCAAGTAATAAGAAGGTAGAAAAGATATTGCAGGTTGATCCTGCTACATAGCCAATAATGATCTTTAGGGTCTACTAGAAGGATTGGAGATTGCAGTTAAGCTTCTATCTAAGACTTCACGCCAAGGACTTGATGAATTTAAGATATCATATTTTGGCATGGCTAGAAGCTTTGGAGGAGACGAGACTCAAGAAAAAGTAAACACACAGAGAGTTGTTGGCACATAGTAAGCTAGATAATGCAACTGTATATAAATGAGTTCATTCTTTTATAACATTTACTCACTATTGGAATAATTATTTGTATTTGACATATTAGTGAAATAAATTATATTTGTTATTTATGGTATTTTATTTTGTATTATGAGATTTTTAATCTACTATTTAATTTGAAAATTAGTAAATCTATAAATAATATTTTTTTAAAACATTTTAAATTATGATACGCAAAAATGTGTGTCATCTTCAGTTATGAAATGGCCTTTCTTGACAGGAGCTTTCTTGATACGCATTGCGTGTCATTAACACGCGCGTCGTAAGGTTACGACATGCGAATGTGTGTCGTCTTCCTTTACGACAGGGCCTTCCTTGATACACATTGTGTGTCGTAAACGCGCGTCGTCTCTCTTTATGACAGGGCCTTCCTTGACGCGCATTTACGCGTCGTCTGAGCCTTTTATAATGCGCAATGAGCATCGTAAAAGGCTATTTTTCTAGTAGTGACCATATCTCAATTAATCCTCTAAGTGAGTCTTAGTGCAATTGTATGTCTGAGAAGAGGAATCGAGAATTGAAGAAATGGTTAAATCAAGAAGTCAATCATACTTTGTTCCAAAAACAATTATTAGAGTTAAGATTCTGACATTGAGTGACAAGTCTAAAGAAGGTTTATAACATTCATCAAATGTGGAATTTGAAAAAAGGTTTTCTTATTCTTGCACATTTGAAATTGGTAAGTTGTGATGTCTTGGATAAGACAAAGACCAACTAGGACTAATTTTGTGAAGTGTTTCGCCTTGATAAAAGCTACACTCTCTTGAATATTTGTTTATCAAAAAAAACGTTTCTTGACTA